ACTACATTTAGATACAGAGAAAATTCTCTAAATAAGATTAGAAACATGAGAATAACGTGAGTAGCTTATTTTCCTGGAAGCAATTAGTATTAAAATTTGAGATAATTTTGAATATAGGAGTAACACATGATAAAAGGCGAAAAGGAGTAGTTGTTTAAAATTAAAATATGAGTTACTTTATAATTGGACAAGAATGCCCCCATATGTATTAGCCTTGCCACTGCACACTGCTGCAATATTGTCTTCAGCTGCCAAAGCTCCGGCAAAGCCAAAAAAATCCAAATTTGAGCCGCCGCCAGTTTGTTTGCCGTTGCAGTCAGCAGTTGCTAGAGCTCTGTCGAAGGTCGCCGCCTCCTCCTCCCCCACCATCGGACTGCGCCGTCACCAACGGGCTAACCCGATGATCCAAGGGATCTAGAGGGGAATTAATTATATAGTATTAATTAATTAAATTAGGGGTATCCGAGGTAGAAAATTAATGTTTACTTCAATCTAGGGAAGATAAAGGGTGAACCCCTGTTTGGAGAAAAATGCTACGTTTTACTCCTATCAAGGTCAATTACCTTTAAAACTTTCCTTTGATTCAAGTATGCAAAAATGGAGGCTAATCAAATCGTATTCAACCTTTAAATTTGTTCCCGTCACATTAATTAACTATATAATTGGTTATACTAGTACTCCAAATATTATATAATGGGGTTTTGCCTTCCATATTACTAAACTAAAGCTAAATTCCAAAAAAGTGACCACATTTACATTTGGACAAAAATGTGACTAAGATAGTTATTCATGTCACTGCACCACTTCTATTCACTGTCAGATGTCACTGTCATTATCATCGCTCGTGTCACTGTCAGATGTCACTGTCATTATCATCGCTCGTGTCACTGCCGCCGCCATTGCTCAGGTCACCGCCGCCGGCCACAGTAACACCTCCGCAGTGACATCTCTTCAGTGATATTTCCGCCCCAAATTCTGGCCACAGTGACATGAACACATTAACATCCACCACTGCCTGTGACCGTTGACCATCGCCGGTCATAGTGATGCCGCCATAGTGACGCCACCACAGTGACAACTCTGCCCCAAATTCTGGTCACAGTGACATCTCTACCGCCGTCCACCACCAGCGACGGCCACAGTGACGCACAATTACTCCGGCCACCACCAATCACCATCGCCACTGTGCCTCAGCACTTCCACTGTCCATCACCATCCCAACGCCCCAGTCCCGGGAAAATCCCACCCCCAGCCCATGCCCCTACCCTTGAAGCCCCGTCCCTTGACCTCCCCCAACCACCTCTCAAGTTCAACTCCAACCAGCCGACCCCGTTCCAACCCTCCCCATCCTCTACTCTAACCAACTCAGATCTGAAATGTTAAAGACAACAATGAAGCTTCCCCCACAATTGAATAGAATAAAGAAGAAATAGAAGCATGGGGAATGACGATGAAGACAGAAATTACGGCGTACAGGGGCGACGACAACACCGGGTGAAGGGAAGACGACGACACCGGGGTGAAGGGAAGACGGTGACACCGGCGTGAATAGTGGCGTCGCCGGAGATGAATAAAGGGAAAGAAGAGAGCACATCAGCACATAGCAGATCTGCGATGCAGCAACAGTAGGAGGTGATGACCTAGAGGCGGTGACCATTCGGAGAGAAGATCTAGAGGTGGAGCAACCTGACCTGCCATCTCCGCCGCGTAGCTTTGTCGTTCTTTGCTGGAGCCTGGAGGCCGCATAGCTTTGTCGTTCTTTGCTGGAGCCTGGACGCCGCATAGCTTTGTCGTTCTTTATTGGAGGCTTAATTGGAGCTGGTGAGTAATTCGCTTGGGAGGGTGAATACTGGGCGGCCCAAAAAGGCAGCATACGGAAAGTCCATATCTCTAACTCATTTTTTTGTCCAATCCTAAATTGATCATATTTTTGTCTAGTGAAACCTTATGAGTAATATTTAGGCCACTGTTTCTTATATAATTATTGGCAATTTGTCATTTCTCACATTGTATTTTATTCTTTATGATGCCAATACCTTTGAGTGTTATATCCTCATCACTATTTTTAATCGAAGGAAAGAATGGATTTGGGATTAATCTATTTTTGATAGAGATAACAAGAGCAATTACCATGACAAGAGAAAATATTGCCAAACAATCAATACTAGTGATTGGTAAAGGTAAAATTTCTCCACATTTTGTGGGTTCAAATAACTTAGAGCTAGACTTTATGCCTATTGATGGGGATAAGATTGACTATATAGAGACTGAGGTTTTCATTTTGGGAGCTTTATTTAAATGTGATATTGAGCATTCTGCCTTTTTGAAAAGTCCTTAGAGCTGATTTCTCTCAATGACATTAAAAGTTTTGAACAAATTTGTGAACACGATGCACATGTAAATCTTGGGGATTTCTTCCATGAAATTTTGACTCATGGGGTGGAATCACTTTTTCATTTTCTGAGTAATGAACTTGAGAGACTCCTAGCCTCTATTTTGGATAATCGAGAGAATTTGATTTTGAGACCCACCGATGAAGGGAAAGTTCAAAGTTGTTCGAACAAAGGTCACTCCAGATAAAGCTGATTTGAAGACCTTTAGAGCTTCGGAGTCACATGGTTTATGTAAAATATAGGCAAAAAACAAAATAGAAGTAACTTTAGTGTTTGGACTATGGACAACTATACTTCTACCAAAGCTCCAACCCCCAAGCCTCAACAACTTTCATTAATATTTAAAACATAAAAGAAATAGCATTAATTAATTTATAATAAAATTGTAAAAACATAAAAAAAACATAAAAATATATATTAAATAAAATATAATCCTTATTAAATAAAATTAAAAAAATTATATTAAAAAATATAAAATAAAAAACTAAAAAAATAAAATATAAAAAATTAAAAAAAGAAAATATAAAAAAAAATGCAGACATCTGCCGCCGCCTCAACAACCTCCCAGCACCACCAGCTTCGACCACCGAAAAAATACCGAAATTTGTCCAAAATGCCATCATGATGACAATTTTTGAGAAAATTTGGCATTTTCAATGAGTAAAACAGTCATATTTATGACATTTTCAAGGGAAAATGACAACTTTTACATAAAATGGCATATTTTTGCCGATCGGAGGTGACATAGTTGGGTGATAGCCGAAGCTGCGGGGACGGCCTGCATAATTTTTTTTATATTTTTAAATTTGTTTTGTCTAGTATTTATTTATTTTTAAAGTTTTTTTTATAAAAAATATTATTTTAAATTTTTAATATTTATATATTTTTAAAGATATTTTAGATTTTTTTTATATTTTAATAGTATCAAATAAGTCATATTTTAGAATTAATTAGGTTAGTGGTATTAAATTTAGAAAATTAATGTTTACTCATATTGAAGGAAGTTTTATGTTTTGCTCCTATTTGTGCAATTATGTTTATGTTTACTCCTATATTACGCAATTTCTAATGTTTTTAAGGTGCTTCGTGCACTTCATTTTTTGGGAAATGAATTTCTTTGTCATATCTATGAGAATTAGAAGAGGGTGCCTATCTCAAAAGTGGGGATCCATGAGATTCTAATACTAATCAAGATATTTATTACAAAGGTTTACTGGTCATGCGTGATGTCTACGCAGAATTTGAACGCTAAAAAAAGAATGTACAGAACAAACAATAATGGTCACATCTTATGAGGATTAGGTATGAAATACGAGCAGAGTTTTGAGGATTGGATTGAGCGATCAAGAATCTCTACAAAGTGTTTTACTTATTCCTTTTGTTTGTGTTGCGTTCTTTCTTTTTCTTTCTTCTTCTTTGCACTTTCTCTTGCTTTTTATTAATAACATTTCCTTCCAAAAAAGTACTCTGTATATATATAATGGGAGTGGTTATAATGAGAAGAACTCTTATTGTGAGAAATGAGCATATTTTTTATGTAATAATAAATACCGGTAAAATATCAGATTGATCCATATGAGAACATTGCTTTATAAAGTTTCGATTTAGAAAACTAAAGTAGAGAATAGAAGTAAAATGCAGATGAAGTTTGTGTTTGACTTTATGAATATATAATAAACCGATCAAGACTTAGGATTCACCAAATGTTAACTTGAGTTTAATATAAATAAGTTATTTTGTGAATTTTTATAAGTACGAAATCACTATTATACTCCTCACTCTGGTTAAAGCGGTGAGAGCGTCATTATCCTTACTGTGAATCCAGTTACGACTCACATTCATATAGAGAAAACCTTTTGAATATTAATATACCTCAGACGTACCATATAAGATCACATATATTTGTATCCTCAGTACTTTGTATGCTTATTTTTAAAGAGAACAATCTATATTGCAACTTCCGTTGACCATATAAATCTCTAAATGTTATGCAACATAGTTGTACAAATTTAATTCTAAAGAGAGTAAAATGTGAATTACTTAGTATAGTGTCCAATCTAGATATCTCAACATTAATTATTTCATATAAATACATAGATTTACCTTATATTGCATAACACGAATTTTTAGTTAAGTTTAAGAAAAACAAATCATTATATTTTGACTTAAAACGAATATTAAGAACTAGCGGACAATATGTTCATCTCGAGTATTGGCTTAAGTATTTAGACTCTAGCCTAATATAAATCTATATCACAATACTTTAATGTAGAAGAATATCCAAATCCAAAAAATATTACCTAAACATCAATTATTGAAAAAATGAGTTTCATCACATCAAGAGCACCAAGAAAAAATAGAGAAGGAATATAAAATGAAATTATGAATTAATGGATTGAACTTGAATGTTGATTGGTTATTTAGAAAGCGTATGAGCTCAATACTTTGCATTTTCTAATTTTGTGTTACATCTATTACTTGACACACATTAATGATATGTCATTTACAACCAAATATTTGTAATGTCTATTGGTTTAACAAAATTAACACCTTCTAGGCAATAAAACAATTAAACATCATCACTTGGAGAACATTATTCACAGGCGACAGCTACAAAGTGTACTACCACCCACACGACCGAATCGCCCAAAGTTTACGTGCTCATGTTTTGTCGCGTCCCAATTCTGCCCTCCATTTCCTATCCTCTCCCTTCCCCATTTCTTTATACTCCCTAATGTTTCCCACTCCTTACTGTATCTCCCCAATTCACGTTCCCGTCCACCGTCGCCGGAATATCCCTTCCGTTCAACTTCTGCGCTCCTCTCTTTCTCTCTCACTCTCCACTTCTTGACGTCCATTTCCGCAAAAACCTTCTGCTTGTTGTGGGTGTGTCGATTCTTTGTAACTTGAAGATCCGAATTTTGGGTTTTGAAATTTTGGTCGAGTTCTCGCCGTTCCCCGAGATGTCGGCGTCTTCCACGTACTGGTGCTACAGGTGCGATAGGTTTGTGCGGGTTTGGAGCCAATATTCAGTGGCTTGCCCGGATTGCGGCAGTGGGTTTATCGAGGAAATCGACACTCCTACCCGATCTGTGGCACCCGAGTCTCGCCGGAGTCGATTCTCAACGCAGAGCTCGAATCAGAACGCCGGTTCGGGTTCCGATTCCAGTCCACGCGTTCGTAGGAGCAGAAGGAACGGGGGTGACCGTTCGCAGTTCAACCCGGTTATTGTGCTTCGCGGATCCGCCGATGGAAGGGGCGGGGGCGGGGGCGGAGGAGACGGTAGAGGGGGAGGGTTTGAGTTGTTCTATGATGATGGGGCAGGGTCGGGTTTACGGCCTTTACCCGCTAGTATATCGGAGTTTCTACTCGGGTCGGGTTTCGACCGGCTTCTTGATCAGTTGACCCATATTGAATCTAATGGTCTGGGCAGAATCGATGACCCGCCGGCTTCAAAATCGGCGGTGGAGTCACTCCCGACGATCGAGATTGCCCATCCCCACATATCCACCGAACCCCATTGTGCTGTTTGCAAAGAAGCGTTCGAGCTTGGGAACGAAGCTCGTGAAATGCCATGTAAGCATCTCTACCATCCAGATTGCATTCTTCCATGGCTCTCTCTTCGCAATTCCTGCCCTGTCTGCCGGCACCAGCTGCCCACAGATACCCAGAACGCTGGCGAGTTAAACCCGGGTATGAACCAGACAGGAATTGATGATGATTCTATTGGATTAACAATATGGAGGCTGCCAGGTGGCGGATTCGCAGTTGGGCGATTTTCGGGTGGGAGAAGGGGTGGTGAAAGAGAGCTTCCTGTTGTGTATACTGAAATGGATGGCGCTTTCAATAACAATGGCGTTCCAAGGAGAATTTCTTGGGCGAGTAGTGGAGGTAGTGTATCAAGGCAAAGTGGTGGCTTGAGAAGATTTTTCTTTAATGTATTCTCATGTTTACGCGGGTCTAGCTCTAGATCAGGTTCAAGGATCATTCGCAGAAGCAGTTTGTTTTCCTCCGTATTCAGTTCTGGTTCAAGAAGAAGGAGGCGATTGGGTTTATGAGGCCCGTAATGGCGCTCAAGATGGCACAGAACCATTGTTAGGGAGATTGACTCTGTAAATAACTGGCTTCAGTGGGAAGTAATCAAGTAATTGTCTGTTCTTGGTTAAAGTAAAACCATGGATTTTCATTTTCGCCAGAAAGAGCCTTAGCGATGGAGGATGTGTTAGAAGGTAAACAGCTCTAGTAGTGCCAGAGTAGCTTGCAAACTAAGTGCCCTTTGATAAGGGTTACTTGGCCAAATTTGTCAAATTTTTTCAAAGGCGTTTGGTGATATTCTAAATGCTACTTCTGTTTCAGCCAAATAAGTAACTGAAGTATTGCTTATGCGACTGGTAATCAGAATGAGCAGAACAAGCTGAAGCTGAATAATGCTGCCAAACAGGGCATACAGTTATGCATTTCCTTTTCATGTTGCTTTCACCATTGTATGTCACTTGATTTATTTGTTTTTTATATTTAGTTGGATTTAAGTCTAAAGATACTATATTGTATTCAGATTACTATGTTTGAGTGAATTGAGTTTTGATCTTCAAGGTTTGTGATGCACATTTTCCACATTATAAGGCCCTGCATAAGTCTGTTTCATGTACATTTTCCACATTATAAGGCCCTGCATAAGTGTGGTGCGGCATATGTCCACACCTTGTCTTCAGCGACCGAACTCCACATCCCACACCACACTACTTTATCTTTGTACACATATCGTTGAGGTTGCTTTGCCATTGATGATGGTCTGTAGCTCTCTCTTCGGAACAGCCGAAGCTTCAAAGAAACGATAACAAAAACTTGATAAATGATTTTTTTACTCATGCATGTTTGATTGATTCTTTGCACATATGAGTATGAATATTTATTGGGTTGGTAATTACAGTTTTCATAAAATACTAGGTTCTTTTAAGGTTCTTTTAGGAAGCCCTGTTAATGCAGTTTCTGGTCTTCTGTGATGCGGATTGTTCAAAATTAGTTACTATTTTGAAATTTCGAGTAAGAGGTATTTGATTCCAGGAGACAGATCTACAAGTGTCCTTAATCAATTTATCCCTAGGGTTAGAAATGCTAATGCCTCCAGAATGAAACTGTTGTTATAGATGAGAGTATTAAAGGTGCGTGTCAACCTTATGTGAGAGATGATGTGAAGAGAGAATATGTTGTTAAAGGTGTTTGTCTAAAATTTATTTCATAACTTTCTATGAACTTAAATACATCAAGGTGCTTTCGAGAATAATGGTTTAAAAGTTGGGAAGGGTTGGAGTATAATGTCTCTATAGATGTCATTTTTTTCTTTTATCTTGCCTTTTTCATGGGAAAGAGAGAGATTACGTGTTTTGTGAGTAGGGGTGGGCAAAAATATCGAAAACAAAATATATCGCACTTACCGTACCGAAAAATACCGGAAAATATCAGAATATTGGTATACCGTCATTTTCGGTATGGTATCATACCGTACTGATTTATTTCGGTACGATAACGGTAAATGTTTTCAAATACTGCGGTATACTGGTATAATACTGTACCGAATCCCTACCCAACAATTACTTTAAATTCTAAAATATTGTAAAAGTTCATTAGAATTTTTAATCCCAAAATTAATACTTAGGTTGGTTACAAATGTCAAAATACAAATTCAAAGGCTCAAATTCCCAAACTCATTATAACTTTCTAGGCTTCTACTACGTAGCATTCAAATAAACTAACCTTAATGACTAATGAGTAATGTACTAATGTCTAGAAACAAATCTATCTTGTTCCAAGAGTTTGCGAGTCGCGATGGCTGAGCCGCTGATGGGTGTGACGAGCCTATCTACATAGGGATTCTGATCCGCGAGTCAAGTCACACAACTTTGCTTGAAAGTCTTATTCAAATATTTTTTTGAAAATATAAAAATGACTAAATACACAATCATATTAGTAACAAATGGTTTTATATCCATGTTGTTTGTATAATTTTATTTATTTTTGTTAAAGATCACTGTGGATTCAATTATATCTATATTATTCAAGTTATTTTAGGAGAATGTGTTACTTTTTAATACGTGGCATGTTGAACTGCTTAAATATACTAATAATAATTATTGTTCAGTATTGAATATGAATCAATAGATTATCAATTGTATTTTGTAACATTTTAATAATGGATTAAATATGTCGCTTAGGGGTGGATTCGGTTCGGGCCACCCAGCCCGTGACCCGGCCCGCTACTGTGCGGGACCGGCCCGCTACTGTGCGGGTCCGGGACCGGCCCGGTTTGGCGGTCCGGGACCGGGTGTAGACCCGAACTGGGTGGTTAGGGCGGGGCGGGCTTGGTTCCGAAAAAAGTTGACCCGGCCCCGCCGGGTCGGGCCCGGGTCCAACGGTCAGATTTAATTTTTTTTTGTTTTGGACTTTTGGGCCAAACTAGCCGTTGGGGGGTGGGCTGCAGGATGGTCCGGGCGGTTTGGGGGGTGGGAGGTGGTGGTGGGGTAAAAAAAACTATAAATACTCCTAATCTTAAACATTTTTCCATATCTCTTCTCCAAGACTCCAACTCTTCCTAAATCCTACTCTTAACTCTCTACTCTCTACTCTCTAATTATCTTCATCTTCTCAAATTCTCTTATTCTCCAATATAAATTCTATAAATACTCTTATTTTCTAACATTTTTATACACATCTTCTCCAACATCTAATCTCTAATCTCCATTCTCGATCTTCATCTTCATCTATTGTAGTATTTGTAGAATTATTATATCTACCATTTTTAAGATGGAAAGTCAATATGCCGCTATACGGTATAATTTTGATAAGCAGAAGGACCCGAGGATCGGGATGTGGTACGCAACATGCAAATGGTGCGGAAAAAAGTGTAACATGAGGGTTTCACGTGGATATGGGATGACAATGAATCATATTATGTCACGTGACAAAGCCAAAGGACCGGGAGGTGCGGGAAGTTCCGATTGATTACAATTTACAAAATGTATTTCATATTGTATTTTTTTCTTAATTGTCAAATGTAGTTCCTATTTCATTTCAAATAAATGCACTTGAAGTTTGTTTTTAATACTTGTATAAAACTATAAAGTATAAATTATAAAAAAAATTGGATTTAACCGGCCCGCCCCGGCCCGGCGGGTGGCCCGGCCCGGCCCGACGGGTGGCCCGACCCGTGACCCTGGCGGGTGGCCCGGCCCGAACCGGAACCGTCCAGACCTCGGGCCGGTCCCGGGCCCATCACTTACAAACTAGCGGCCCGACCAGGCCTAGGCCCGACCCGGCTCGAGTCCATGCCTGATGTCGCTAGTAACACCGATTTAATATATTTTTTTAGTGTATGATAATTTGTTGTATTGAGAGATATGCATTGTAATTAACGATACCGTACCGTTATCGAACCGAAAATTTGGTATACCGAAATGCGGTATACCAAAACTTCGGTAAGGTAACAATATATAAATTTTGTATACCAAAAATTTTGGTACGGTAAAGGTATGAGTGAAAATATTCGGTATACCATACCGAATCATCCCTATTTGTCAGAACTGAATTTCGTAGTTGGAAGAAGGATTATAATGAGAAATATAGAGAGCACTTGAGAATTGTAGGTAGTCTATACAATGACACTACTCAAGTCAAATCAAATTGTATATGATTCAATTTAGTCCGATTAGATTCGGTTAAACGAAATAGATGCCCATAATTCACCCCAAATTTTTATCTTCATTTGGGCCGTAAGATAGCCGAAGCGGATTGGTCTTGGCTAGTGACCTACTCTACTCCCATATTCTTTATTTTGGACTTAAACCAATTTGGGGTTTAGAAAAATTATTGAACCCATATTTCACTCACCAAGTAGAAAACACATTTGTCTGTTTTTGTGTGCTTTGTTCACGGGCCATGGAACATCAACAATCATCAATGATCAATCAATTCATCACTTTCACTTTTGAAGTTCCCTCTGCGCGAGATCACGGGTGGTGAACTGGTGCTCACTCCAAGACAAATTGTCAACAAGTTTATCGCTCAATGATCAAAAGAAAAACTCTTCTTTTTCAATTCATTCCTATTTGTGTTTGGTTAAGATTAATGGAATGTGACATTAATTTATTTGGTTAAAAGATACTACCTTATTCCCGGTGGACTTTGCCAAGTGAAAAGTATGTGAGAAATAAAAATAGTAAAAACTATGTAGTTGAGATTTGTGCAGAAGATAGAGAAATGTGCATAACCACAAATCAGTTGCTTTAATAGGAAAGTGACAAAGTTTTTTGGGACAAAAAAAAAAGAATAGTTGACAAAGTCCAATGGGACGGAGGGAGTATCTTATATTGCAGATATTGTGAATTACTTTAATGTTCTTTAAATATTTTCTCTTAACACAATAAATCTATTACAACCTACATCTGAGGTAATTAAAAATCAAACAAAAAAAGAAATATCTTAATAATAAATAAAATCAAATCTAATTGAATTATTTTTAAGTAGGTTTAATTGTAAGAGATTATAGATCCAATACAGAGATGAAAAAAATTCTGTTCAAATAGCAATCTAAATATATTTATTATCATCTAAAAAAGAAAAATGTTCAAGTTATTCGTAAAACTTGTTTTCAAATTAATGAAAAAATGATCAATTTTTCTATTAAATTTTGAAATCCACTCATTAAAAACTTAAATAATCTATAAGTCATATAACATAAATACCTTAAACAATTTAAATATTCAGAAAAAAGAATTATGAAAATAACAAGAAAAGACATTCAAATATAATCACATAAACATACTCCATGTTTATAGATCCAACAACCAAAACAATGACAAATAAAACTTAAGAAATAATGACAAATATATATAACCAAAACAAAGGTAATAGACAAAAATATGACTTAGTGACTATAATAGTAACTTTAGTAACTATGATAGTGTTCAACTTTACATCATAGTGACTATGCATATTAACCGTAGTAATATTTTTGTCCATAACTTATATTTTAGTACTCCCTCCGTCCCAATTTGATAGTCTCATTTCTTTTGGTCACAAGTTTTAATAAAGTGGTTGAAAAGGTAAAAGTGGTGGTTGAGATTTGAGTATAATAAAGTGAAATGATATGGACCACATATTTCTTTCCAAAAAGGGAAACATGACCATCATTTTGGGAAATCCCAAAAAGGAAATACAGGACTATCATTTTGGGACGGAGGGAGTAATATTTAAGGAAAAACTTCTAAAATTATCTGATCTCTGTCAATAATAAGATTGTTTTTAGTAAATAAAATTTACGTATTTAGAAACTACATTAAAAGTTTTATAAAATCACAAAAATTCAAATTTGATGAAAGTTGAATACATAGAGAAATTAAATGAAAAGTGATAATTAATTGAGGGTATTTTCGAAAGAAAATTAGATCATCCCCGGGAATGTTAGATAACCTAAAGCATGTAAGGGTATAACATTCCCCTCCATATTACATTCCCGGGAATGTAGCTTTCCCGATCTGTTCTCATAACCGTGAACCAAACATGAGTATCTAACATTCCAGACATTACATTCCGGTCTCAATGTTAGATAAC